CTAGACTCTCCAAGTTGACACAATGTATCAATCATAACATATGGTCACAAGTTGTCATTCATATAGATTTCAATGTGAATAGTATCCCCACAGAGTTGTATAATTACAGTCTTTCCCATCCTACCTGGCACTTATCTATGCCAAAGGAAGGGGGTGGTTTTATATATATATATATATATATAAATATAAAATTTATTTATTTATTTTTAATTGCCCACAAGAGACAATGTTCTATTTACTTCATAGTGACACATGATTTTTGACATGGATCATGGACTCCTAGGCTGGTTAACCACCATATATCATTTAAGCTTTGTTTAAACAAATAAAACAACTTTGTTACATTACCATGTAACTAAATGCAGGGAGGTTTGATATCCTTTGGAATATTTCAAAAAATAGAATGATAATTTCATAGAAATTTCCAAATGGAAAATTTCAGAAATTGCTTGGATACTAAAGACCATTGATTGAGCAGTTAATGAAGAATTTAAAACCACAGGATATATCTATGGAAATTGAAAGAAAGAGGAAAAAATATTTGTAAATACAAGAAATCAAAAGAATAGTAGAGTTGATTAGTAAGACCATGAGTCTTTAAAAAGATAAAGCATAATAAAAATAAAAAAGCAGGACACAAGTAAATATGTAAAACAGGAAAAATTATAGAGGGGAAATAACAGATATAAAAGAAATTAATCCTAAAATGATACTTTGTAAAATTCATAGAAGCACACTGAAACATTCATTTCATTTGTGTAGTTAAACTGGCAATAAGGAAAAGATAACAAACAAAACTAAAATTCTTTTATTCCTCAATAGGTTTATATACTAATTAATTTTAATAAATTTAATTGATACTTCCTAGACATTTGAGTAGAAGGTAACAATACTTTTTGTCTCCTTCTTACTGATACTTATTCTTTTTTAACTAATACTTATTCTTTTAATTTTCATTTCTTACATTGAATTACATATTTAATTTCTAAAACAATGTTAACAATAAGGATATAAGACTACTATCTTATTCTTGACATGAATTAAATTTTCTGTTTATTATTATTAAACTTCATGCTGGATCTTTAAGAGATCTATATTTTTGGTTAATGTTGCACAAATTTTTAGTGTATCACAATTTCTTATGAAAAAAATTAATGTTTTACTTCAATGTTATTAAGTACAACTGTATTAAATCTGATTGCAATGAGTAAAAATATTGCCTTTGTCATGTCTGTCGAAATTCTGTTTAGATACTACCTTGTTTTTCCACAATTAATTTGGAAGCTTGCATTCTGTTCTTTCCTGTTTTTTTTATGTTTAAAATGATTTATAAATTAGCTTTCTTTTGAAAGTTTAGAATTTCTCTTTGAAAACTGAATGTGGGAATTCCTTTTCACTGGAGGTATGTAATAATTTTTCAGGTGTTCTTAAAAGTTATTTATCAATTTAAGTTTCATCTCTTTTCTGGAGTCACTTCTTTTAACTTCTTGGTTCCTAAATGGTTCAGAATTCTTAAGTGCATGTGTGTAGAGATTCACAAAATACTATTTTCTTATTATTTTAAATTCCAATGTAACTAATTTCATTTATGCCATTTTCAATTTTGTGCATTTGTTTTCTTCCTTCTTTTCATTGTATCCTCCAAAAAATATTCAGAATTATTACTTTGAAATTATTTTTCCACATTCAAATTCATTATTTTACATAATTTTTATCTTTGCTGTCTCTCTTTTCTCTTTCTTTAGGTTGTTTTTCAATTTTTCTACTCTCAACTTTTCTTCAAGATACCCAATAGGGTTTTTTTTGCTTGGTGTTTTTTTTTTTTTTTTTTTTTCCATGGCTGAAGACATTTCTGGAACTTCATTTTGAGGTCTCCTTTTAGAATCTCTATTATATTCCTTGACTTATCTAAATGGGGACAAATCATTCTCCTTTATGTTCATGCTGTAATATATGAGAAGTAGCTCAATATTATTTCAAACAAAGCTTGCTTGATCCGGTGGTTGACCAGTGTGGCTATACGATTTTGCATCAAAGATCATGTACCTCTGTTATTAAATGAAGCACCGTTTCTTGTGAGTCTCACCCATCAACTCTGCAAGCAACCCAAAAGATAGTTCAAAACATGTTTCCACCAAAGGCTGTCCTTTAGACTAGAATACTCCTTGGATGGATCTGAACCTCTTTTGGTCATTTTAAAGACTCATTACAATGTTGTAAGTTGCATGTTCACTGTGGCAACAAATCAGAGTGTCAGGTAAGCCAGGAATGAAAAGCAAGACTCAGCAACTCCAAGAACGCTGTGGAAAATCCTAAACTGATTTATTTTATTCTAAAATGCGTAGACTCTCACTTCAAACAGCGAAGTAGCTGCATTTATTGAAGGCTATTAACAGATATGCAGAGTAAAAATATTTTTCTACATGAAGAATGAAGCAAAAGCCAGTATAAATACTTCAAAATAAAGTGCGCTTTTGATAAAAGGTAATGAAGGGAGAGACTACAAGGAAAAGATATCAGTAAACATGAAGTTTTTATGTATCTTTATGTCAATGCTAAGGTTCTAAACACGCTCATAATATTCTTACATATTATAGTTCTGTCATTTTAATTTGAATAGTTAATGCCATTTATGAAGAAAGCAGTCACACTTCCTGGATAATTACTGTATATCTGTTAAAATAAATTATGTCTTCCTTTAAAATGTGCATTTATTCCATTCTCATTCTGCTAATGCATATCTGTTCCTTCATTATATCTGCAAAATGTCAAGCCTGCTATGTTGGAAAAATCAATAATTAAATAGCTCTACAGTAATTACCTCCCTGTAACACATTTTTCCACCTTAGCAACACAAACCAAATCCACTAACATCAGAATTACACAAATATATTTCTGGGAAGGTCATCTTGTGAAAATGTAATGTGATTTACAAATATCTGCGTCATGCTTTAAATAGCAGGGGACACTGAGTCAGGTCACAAACTTCAGGTCTGCTCTTAGTAAGAGCTAACACTTTATATCCTTGTGATCAGGAAATTTGGGGTTAGTCTTACAATTTACAAAAACAAAAACAAAAGATAATAATGGCTGCAATGACAACAAGGCATGGCATTTCTCATGAAATTTCCAGGTGTTTTCAAAGTGTTTTAAGCAACTGGTCAATTTGTGTCTAAGCTCCTAGAAACTAAAAGGAATTGATCATGCCAATGATTCTAATGTTTAGAACAGATTCCATCCAGTCAAAGCCCCTATTCATGCACAAGTGAGCAGCCCATAGAGAAGGAAAGAATTTGCCTCAAAGTCATTCTGTGCCTTTGTTAACAGAAGACATTGTTTAAAAGTATGACTACGATTTTTGAAGAAATGACAAATAGATTTAAAACTCACTTCAGGAAAGGTATAAAAAAGTCAAATTTTTAGTAAAGTGACAACCCAAAACAACAACAACAAAAAAGTTGCCATCTCTTAGTAAATAGCACTTTACAAAGCTTGAAACTCATTTACAGAAAGAAAAATTTAACTTGAAATCAAGTGACAACAAAAGTTAAAACAAGGAATTCACTGAATTTGCACTTCCATGGCATATAATTTTTATTTCTTAAAATATTTTAAAATTTAAAAAGTAACAAAGCAAGATTATTAAAGCCTTTAAAAAGTCTGTGTTAATATGTGTTTTTAAAGTCTCTGTAGCCCAGCAGTAGAAAATATTTCTTTATTTTTACTATGAGAAATAAACTGGCACACTTTTGTATTTCATCTTCATGATTGAATTTGTTTTTGTTTTTATATACCACCTAGTATATATGAGATTCTTGTACATAAACAAGTTTATCTTAAAGTTCTACTGCATGCGTGAATCTATTTTGTTGCATAGATCTGCGGTAGTCTCCTCCATTGCTTAACTTTTGTTGATTACATTATTTCTTATTGTCAAGATTTAAGATGTTTATGCTTTGTTTGTAACTATAATGTCCACTATTGATTTATCTCCTTTTATACACACACACACACACACACACACACACTCACACACTCACACACAGCGACACTCTCTCTTCACCTTTCTTACCCTTTATCCTCTTAAACTCTGTTGGTTGGTAGAATCTTATATTCTTGTCTGCCCTTTCCATTGTCACCAAAGAATGGCACAAGAGCTCTCTATTCCCTCAGTTCTTGCATACTCTGTGATCTGTTCTCTGTCTTTATAGCCCAAGGATAAGGGGAGATTGCTCAACTTTTGTCCTCACCACTTTCAGCAACTATGATGCCTTTATCATAATTTCTTCCCCTTCAACGTTGTAGATGAAGACAGACTATCTTAGGGCATCAGGCACACTACATCAAGCCTCAAATCTTGGTCTTTAATTCCATTCCAACTTATTTTCCTTTTGTTATTCTTAATGTGGCTTATTTCTAGTGGTTTTATGTTTTTGAAATGATTTTACTTTTTATTTGAGCTCTCATATCTCTTCTTAAAATGCTTATTTTAGATAAAACATTAACTGGAATGCTGCAAATACAAAGAAGTAGTTTATAAAATATTCTTGTGTCTCTTTGGGCATGATTCCTCTGGTGGATGGTTTGCATCTGCTTTAGAGTGATGTTCCTTGATTTTGTTTTTTATTCTTTTATTGTCTCTTTTATCTTTTGGATATGCCTTATTCTATTGTGCACTTTTAAATCAAGGTGGCTACTTTGTGCAGCAGAGTATAACAAGGAAAGGAACACGGTGGCTGGGTTTCATACAGATGTGTTGGACACCTGTGGGCCTGCACCAGTACAGCTTGCAGCTAAATGCATTGGGATGTGGCCCTCTGTGCTTTGGTTTGACATTTACACCCATTTACCCCTAGAAACATTCTTAAATTTAAAAACTGAGTTACAGAACAGAGAAATTGCTCAGCTGCATAAGTTCTCCCACCTTTCTTACCCTTTTCCTCTGTTCACATCGTCTCAATTGTTTTGTTTCTCTTTTTGTTTCTCCTCTTTCAAATCAGGGTAGTAACCTGAGATACTATAACTCCATGTAAAGAACCCTAAGACGTGCATTTCAGGATCATGACTTACTTGTGAGAGAAGAGGCAATCTGTGCCCTGCAAGGGACTAAGATGTCAAGGTCAATTGCCAGCTGACACTTGGCCACCTGTACTGCATGGAATACTGTATGTAGGCACAATAGCTTCAGAGCCACTGCTGTGATTCTGTACTGGGGACTTTTGCCCTCACCACTTTCAGCAGCTATGATGATGTCAAAGAGAGAATAACAACCACAAGTCCCTCCACTCCATGACTTTCAATTGAAAACAATAAGTAATCATTTCTCAGTATCTCATTATGTAAATTTTTAAACATTCAGTAAAGTTGGAAGAACTTTACAATGGATCCCCATATATCCATCATCTAAATTTTACTACCTCTAAGATTTTATTGTTTTTGCTGAGTTATATATCGATTCTCTTACCAATCCCTCTAACCACCCATCAATGACCTAATCATTTTTGATTGTTATTTTATTTTTCTAAAGAAAACTGAATAGCAATTTACCATGGGAAGATGATTAGGAAGTAGTAAAACTTCATTTACAATTGCAGTCACTTTAAAAATAAGAGGCATAATAAAGCTCTTGTGTGGCCCTTTGATTAAAATGAATAATGTTTTCAAGTGACTTATTTTATGTGCAGTGATTATAGGGACCAAATGTGCATTAATGACTAGATTCATAAATTTCTTCCCTGTGTGACTTGCTCCATTGGGCCATCTGGTTTCAAACAAAAAGCAAATTTATTCAGGTGTCATTCATATCATATAAAAGTAAGGTAGAAATTTCCTTCCTTAGAGTCCATCTCTCTGGTCCTCATACAATGTATGAGGGACCTGTCATAATAAACCTTACTATCACATCAAAGAGGAGTATGGTTGTCATTATGTTACACTGGCAACTGAGAGGTACTGCATGTTACAAACAGCTGCAGTGCTTTAAGTGTGGAGTTATACACTGAACTCCCTAGAGTTTTTCATATGCTGAGTTATCAGGCACTGACTTGACATTTGAGACTCTCACGTGGAGGATCAAGTAGCCACTAACTTTCCTTCCAGGGAATATTGGGAAGATACCAAATACCTTTAAGAGTTTGAAAGGGCCAGGGATTGAGATGCAGGTACTCAGCTTGGACCCTTTTCCTCATGGTGAATCAACACCAGTAAGAAGTAAGAAAGAAAGAAGCATGAGTCTACTTAATTTCTTTCAGTGTGGTTTCTACAAAGAATACCCACTATTCTGGGGGAAAAGCCTGCAACCTACAAGTGTGTGAGGTTGAGAGGGATGTCTGGCCATGAGAGAAACAGAGCACTAGAGGCACACAGACTGCTCCAAGCATGATATCACTTGGGTGATCCCATAACTCCATTTTTTCAGGCAGTTCCAGTTTGATGGCCTATATGTTATATATTACCATATTAGCAATGTCCCTTTATCTTATCACGTGTCCTGATTTGGATTATAGGTTGTGTCTCCACCTAGTACATTACTGGAAAGAAAGATGGTAGAATGTTTTTCTCCAACAACCTTAAAGCAGTGTACCCCTCCCTGAAACAGGGAACTACTGGTCAGAGGTAGAAATTCTAGCATGATGCCAAGAACTGCAGGCTGTTTTCAGAAATAACATCTGGTAAATTTAAAAGCCTGGTACATCATTTGCAAAATAGACAATAGAAGAACTGTGCAAAGAAAGCATTTCTGTGCTAGGAGTACAACTGTCTTTCCAGGATTTGCTGCTGATGAAATTCCAGCATATCATCAGTCTTACAGTTATAAGGGCCTACATAGATAAGGCCTAGGTCTTGAGGAGAATCTACTCTAATTCTTTCTCTTCAAATAGGTAGACTACATGGAGCTGACATTGTCAAGGAAATAAATAATCACACATAGACATACACATGCATACACCGGATGTTCAAAAGCAAATAAGAATTCTGTGCTAAATATTTTATATGTCCTTTCTCATTTAATCTTCAGTTTTATCTTACTTTTTCATTGCTAGCACCACGGTGATATGTAAAACCTGTTTTTGCTTTAAAACAGAAATATTAAACCTACTGGAAGATAAAATAGGTAAAACACTTGAAAACATAGGTGGAGGAAGTGATTTTCTAAACAGAACCTCAATCACACAGAGATAACAGCAAGAATCGACAAATGGGATTTATGTCAGACTGAAAAGCTTCTGTAAAGCAAAAGAATCAATCAATAGAATGAAGAGACAGCCTGCAGATTGGGAAAAATTTTTGTCAGCTACTCCTCAAACAGAGGACTAATATCTAGAATATATAAAGAACCCCTCAAAATTAAATCACCTAAAATTAAAGACTCAGTCAAGAAATAGGCAAAAGAATTTGTAAGAATTGTGCTGTCTCACTAGTGTAAGACCTGAAAGAGTGAATAAAAACTAGGAGGTATGATAGACATTGTGAAATGAAAGGAAACTGCTCAAAAGTAAAGGGCAACTGGGGTGTGGGAAATGAGAAGGGAAAGAAGGGGAAATTATGTAGCTGTGTATATACAGGATAGCTAACACAGCTGTACTACTGTCTTCTATTGCTCTACAGAAAGGAACAGTTAATGATTACTTGTTTAATCAATCTTGTATGTCTCTATTTGTTTGCCTGAGAAACCACTTTGAAGATATCAATAAGTAATACAACAAACATTGTTAATTTCCTACAACTTTGTCTGTAACTGTTTTGTTTGTATTGTTCTTATACTATTTTCTAAAAGGATGTCTGTTTGTTAGTATGTTTTCCTTCTTTTATTTCTTAAAGTAAAAAAAAAAAAAAGAAATAGGCAAAAGAAAAGAACAGGTACTTCACGAGGAAGAAATACAAAGGGTCAAAAAGTATATGAAAAAATGTTCAAAATCTCTGACCATTAGAATAAATCCAAATTAGAACAATACTAAGATTTCATCTTACTCCAGAAAGAATGACAATCATTAAGAAAGCAAACAATAACAAATGCTCATGAGGCTGTGGTGAAAAAGGAACCCTCCTTCATTGTTGGTGGGAATGCAAACTAGTACAGTTATCATGGAAATCAGTATGGAGATTTCTCAAAGAATTGAAATTAGAAATTCCATATGATCCAGCTATCTCCCTGTTGGGTATCTTCAAAAAGTTTAAGTCACACTACCATGATTGATACATGCATGACAATGTTTATAGCAGCAAAATATGTAATAGTTAAGTCCTAGAAGCACCCTGTAAACCCATTAACAGATGATTGGGTAAAGAAAATGTTATATTTATTATAATGGAATACTACTCAGCTATAAAGAATGACACATTTGAGAACTTTTAGGCAAATGGATACACCTGGAAAATATAATGTTAAGTGAAATGAATGAAATACAAGCTTAAATACCACATGGTATCCCTGTTTTGAGTAAGACAAAGTACAAAGAAAATAAGAAAGGATATAAAGGCACAAGGGGATGGATCTCTTGCAATAGGGAAGTGGTCTGAGAAAAGAAGGATGAGGAGTGAAGAGGAAGGGAAGAAGAAATAAGAATAAAGATATGCCATGTACAGGAACTTCATAACCCCAGTTAATGTAAACATTATAGGCCGTAACATGGGATAAGAAAACTAACATCAACACGATTGAAGAATGGGGTAGAGAAACTGGAGGAAAGGAGGGAAAGGGGTTTAAAAAAGAGAAAGAAATATACTGTAATATGTGCATGTAACCATTCTCCAAGACAATTGTACATTACATGAATTGCAAACATGTACAAATGAAATAATTTTTTAAATCCTATTTTATTCTAGTAGACAAATGAAAATAAAATAGAGTTAAGAAATTGGATTTCTGGATTACTGATTTGACCCTCCCCAATTCATCCATTCAGTACAAACAGATGTATTTGAGATAAAAATTAAAAAATATTCTTGGCTCTAAATCTTATACTTAACCTCTGTTGTCTGTTTCTCTGCCATAGTCCTTATCAATTCTCCTCCAATATTGTCCCTATATATGCATCTTTGCCTATTAAACCTTCACTTCCCCATTAATTCCATCTACATAACACGTACCTACTCATCAAAGTGTATCTTTCTGGAAGCTTGTATATCTTCTCCACTGCCATAGCTTAAATGTGTTTCTTTCAAAATTCAAGCATTGGAGTTGAATGGCTAATACAATAGTACTAAGAAGTGGTGATGAAATATTGAAAGCTCTTTCTCTCATGAGTAAGATAAGGCCCTTTGTAAGGAGGCTGCTTGCAAACTTAGGTTCACTCACCCTTCTACCTCATAAGGACATAACACCCCTCTCCTCGGGAGGCTGCAGCCATGGGGTGCCATGTTGGAAGCAGAGAGTAGTCTTTTTCAAACAGTGACCCTACTGACACCTTGGTCTGGAACTTCCTATCCTCCATGATTGTGAATGATATATTTCTGGCCTTTATAAATTACTCAATATGAGATATTTTGATAGAGCAGTGGGTATAAAGAAGTTAAGGCAATTGTTTAGGACTACATTGGGTACTCCTACATATGTCAACTAGAAGATCACTGATACCATTATTGTAATAACTTTGCCAAGCACTGCATTATTTGTAGTCTGCTACCTTCATTAGGTGGTTACTCTATTAAGCCAAAGACTTATTGTTCCCAGAAATTGCTACACAGCTGTGTGACCTTAGGCATGTTACCTAAGTTCTCTCTGCCTCCCTAGTTTTTAGCTGTAAAGGAGGATCTCTCCCATAGAATTTGGTTCTTATTTGGGTATGCAGTTTGTTAGAATCACTCAAAAATTTGAAATTCAGTGTTACTTTTATTTTTTTTCATTGTATGTTTATTGAATGTATCAAATCTGCAAAGAGAAGGGATTGAGAGAACTATGGCAGGGAAAGAGGGAAGGAGCATGGGAAGAGAAATCGACAAACATATTCAAGGTATTCAAGGTGAGTGAAGACTTCCTTATCTATCACTATCTAACCAAGAGTTAGACCACACCTGGAAAGGCATTCATGAGCTATCCCATAGCCCTGCATCCCTCCCATTGAATTCATCAGTTCATATCACTCATGATTTGCCTCAAAATGCCCTCCTTTTCAGTGGCTCTACCACCCCAACCTATGCCCTTACTGCCACCAGAGAAGCCTCCCAATAGCTTTCTCCAACAATTGCCTATTGCCCAATAGCAATCTACTAACCAAACAGTAGTTAGAACTCTTTCAGAATGATGATTAAATCATTTAATGCCTTTGCTCAAGCCTTTGTTAGGGTCCTTGTATTCCTAATCTCCTTCGTGATAGATCCACGGCTACCTACTGAGCACCAGGCCCAAGGTCTCCCCTCTTTGCAGTTGCCACTGGGCACAGTGGGCTTCTCCCCACTCTCCCACTGAGCTTTCACAACCACAAGAGCTCTGCTTAGTGCACTCTCTCCCTGTTTTACTCCTAAGTTTTCCTTTCTCATTTTTTGGAATTCAGTTAAAATACCTGTTCAAAAGGAGTTATCAGACCAGCAAACAATGTGAGCCACTCATTTTCCCTCCTGTGGCAGGACTGCTCTCTGTCTACTTAGAATACTTCCCAGAATTGGAAGTAAATATTCATTTCTCTACTTATTTTTTAATGGGTTTCTGCCACTGTACCCTTATATTAGAAAACAGCAGTGGGTAGATCAGAAAGTGCTAATTAATTATAGTAGCACTTAATGGAGTTTAAGTATCAATTCTTAGAAACTTATATTCAGAAGACAATTCCCTGGGAAGAGAAATGCAGTTTTAAAAAATACATAATTTTCAGAGGCAATTTTGTAATGGAGCAACTCCTTTGAGCTCAGCACTACTGAGTTTCTCTGTGCTGGAACGTATTCTGACCTCTTTTCCCTTTCTCTTACAAGAATGCCTCAGCAGTGCATAGCACAACCAGCATCAACAGGGCTCCAACACAGTCTGAGAAGGACGCTTCCTTGTCCGATGTGAAATGGCCACCACAGTTTCCAGGATAACCCCTGTGGCAGGTTCTTGGTTGTATTTTATACAATAGAAGTAGTGGATGATGGAAACATATTTCTTTATCTGACAGACAGGTTTCCTCAGGAAGAAATATCAGAAGAGGTTATTTTTCTGTTTTTCTGGCTGTTCTGGATTCTTAGTTCTAAGAGCTATATACTGAAAACAAACAAACAACCCATCCCCCAAACAAAGTACAGTTCTTTGAACTGGGTGGAGATGGTCATTGACATTTTTTGGCCCGCCAGTGTTCTGAAGATTAGGCATGTCTCTAAGTGTTGTTGCCAGCAGAGAATACTTTTATGCTGCTACCTGGTATTTGGATACATGTGCCCACTTTCAAACTGTTACTGACTAGTGTTTCAGCACACCACACTCAATTAAGCAAAGCAAGCACCTCAGTGGACAGTTCACAGTGCCTGACTCTTTACTGGAGTATAAAGAACTCCTGAGTGAATCACTGGAACCACCGGTAGGATTCTCGTACCTAATGCAGAATGTCTCTTTGATTGAATCAAAACCAAGAGCACCCCTAATTTAGTTGTTCTGCAATCTAATGCGTACAAGGATATAATAGCTTCTTAGAGCATCAACATCAAGGTGTGTACAAACAACTCCAGGGAGAATTTCAACAATAAGGATGGTGTTAATTCCAAATGTTCTCTGAATAATAATGTCAAGTCCCTAGGTAATTCCCAAGATCCCCTTGGGATGTGACTATTAAAGGAACAGCTTAAGTGGAATCATTACTATTAGTCTCTGTGCTAGTCCTCTTATCTCATTTTTTCTATTTCTTCCAAATGCCTATTTACTCTTAAGATTTTTTTCCTTTACTCAGAGCTCCTAATGTTTGATTCAGTTTCAGAGGCTTCTTAGCACCTAGGACTTTTGTGCTATTATAGATAATCAAAGTCCTTTTATAAGACAGTACAATTGCTATAAATGGCTTTTCTTTCTATCCTCTTTTTGATGTTCAATTTCTTCAAATGTAATTGGATATGTTTGTTGGAGATAACTAACAACATTTTCATGCATCAGAGAAATAAGTAGATCTACAGAGTAGGGATCTGGGACACTTTATTTATTTATCCCTGAATGTAGATAAACCAAGGTATTCCAGAATTAACAGCATATAAAACACAGGTGAAAATTTAAGACACAGGTAGCTGGAATTCTTTCATTTGGACGTATAGTCCAGCACTTATCTCCTCAGTTTAATACTCATAGACCAAAGTGGTAATGTCAGGAGGTACTATGACAAAATGTACATGTCATGCGGTATATTTTTAAACTTCCAGAGCCTCTGGATTATCCTTTAAAGGCTTCTTAAGCAAAGAAGTTTGGATGACACAAACACCTGAATTTTTGAATGAAGCAGTGTGTTAAAAGTCAGTGAGAGAACTCGGCCAAGGATTCTGCTGTTGTCTAACTTCTCCTTAATAATAATATTAACAGCATTAGTAACAACTCAGTGAGCACTTTGTGTGTGCCAAGACTGTTCTGCATGTGTTAGATGTAATAGTTCATGGGCTCACTCAATAATGAGATGTAGGAATTATTATTATCTCATTTTACAGATGAGAAAAATAGACAAGAACAGGTCAAGTAGCCCTCCCAAGTACATACATGTAAATGTGTGATAAAGTAGAGGAAAAATAAACATAGTTATAGATAACCAGCAATTCAATGGCTGAATACCTTTAACAAGTTCCTGTCTCTCTGAGCCTTTCATTATTTCTAGATTCATGATATTGCTGTCACAGTGTTCAGTGTTTTTTTATATATTACATAAAATGAAAATAGAAAAATGCTACCTATGTTAAAAAACCAATCACAGGCGATTTATTTATTCATATACACAGTCCAGAAAAAAATGTACATACACTTCAGCAGTTCCCCATACTAATAAATGTCTGGAAGCCGATGGCCACCACTCTGAGCACCTCTTATAACTGCAGGGGCCAAACGTGCCTTGTATTAATCTCATGATGTCTCAATAAATTTAGTATTAAATATCTATACAAGGTTTTCTTTTCCAGATGTATACATTTTATTTAGCAAACTCTATATTTTTCAACAAATATCGTTTAAGCCTGTACTATGAGGAAGCTTTCCCTAGTTGTTGGAGAAAAGGAAATGATGCAAAACAGTTCTAAAAAGGTCTTTGCCTATTAGACTAATGACTATATATATTGTGACCCAGTAAATTAGATCAAAGTACATACAGCAATGGAAGTCCCTACAAGACACAGAGATAAAACATGGGGACACCTAATTAACTATGTGATCAATGCAACTGCATGTTCACTGGACACCAGAAAGATAGCAGAACTGGGATTTGGTGGAAGGATACTGATACTCTAGGGGGCTTGGGCCATGATGTTAGAAATCAAGGCAAATGTCTCTTCTTTAAAGAGACAAAGAAGCACAGGGCAACATGGTATCTTCTAGAAACTCTAAGAAACTCAATATGGCTGGGATCAGCAAGGATATAGAATGGAGTAATGAGAGATGAACCTGGGGAGATGAAACTCATAATCACCTTGGAAGTCACTGGACTTTCTTTCTCTGATGCAGAAGCAGAGAACCAGAACATAGACATAATCACATTTACATACTAGAAAGATTAAGGTACCTTAGCAGCAGTGTGGAAGGCAAGTTGTAGGAGGAAACAAAGTGCGAGTCAGACAGAATAGATGAAAACCCGGCACAAGAAAGAGAAAGTAAAAAGAGAAATATCCAGGTCGGACTCCTCCCATTCCCTTGAAGATACTGAAGACTGTCATCAAAAGAATGTAAACAAGAAAGTAGTTTGATCATTTTTTAAAATTGGGTGTCTTTGACAGGATGTGGTTACTGAGTGAGTATTCTTTCTAAGAGAGAAGGCAATACTCTAAGGTAAATCTTAGGTTTCCAACTTTAGCAGTACAATGTGGGAGCATCACCAAATTACACAAAAATATTTAGAAGCCCACTTTTAAGGGCAATAAATGAGTTAAACTCCAGAAATGTTACCTTCAGTGAGCTGCTGGAACATTTGAATGGAACCACCACATCAGTGGCCAGAGTCTTCAGTTCAGTGGGGTGGAGTTTTTTGGGGTGGATACAGGGTGGAGAGTCATCTGGAACTTAGGAGCACATCCGTGGTGTTTAAGAGTATGGAGGAAGTGAGCATGCGCAGAAACAGAAAGAGTTGTGATGAAACGGGAAGACGACCAAGGGGAGAATTCTGAGCAACGCCAAACCTTAAAATGAGGACAGAACCGGGAAATCTAAAGAAGAAAGAGGCCTGGTGGTCACAAGTGGAAAGAGGAATCAAAGGAAGATCCTGCAATAATTGGCCTCACAGTGTCCCTATGGTGGACACATCCAGCGAAAACAGGCAAAAGCCTTTCTCAGATTGAAATCATGTACCACCTAAGAGAACATGATTTATATTTCTCTTATTCTGCATTTCTTAACCTTTGTATTTAATGGAGTATTTAGGTATAAAATTATGTTTTTCTAAGCTTCTGTCCAAGTAAAATTCAACCAGGGACTAAAATAATCTTATCAAATCTTCTAGCTCCTTAAAATCGTTAAAGCAAGAATTTCCCTAATGTCAACTGCAGTTTAGCTGCAGCTCTATTCATTTAAGCATGGACTTCAGAGAAATAATGTGCTTTTAATAAGCGCATTATGATCAGGTACGTTTTGGTATATTATTTTATGCATGGATAAGGAAATACACAAAAAGTTTGATATTATGTTTTTTTCCACCATCCTGAGTGAGAGAGGAATGGTTATGAAGAGAGTAGAGAAAAGTGGTTAAGAACATAGCTAGTGACACTGAAATCATATAAAGTTGGATTTCTAAAGTTTTAACTCTGTACCTATTCACCTTGGCAAAATTACTCATCCTCCCTGAGTGTTTCTGACCTCATTTCTAACAGGGCTAATATT